GTTCAATTCCTCAGCACCACATAAGCAAAAGGAAAGAAGAGCAAATAAACAGAACTCAAAACAAAAAAAAAAAAGAAAAGTCAGAGAACTTACACAAGGCTACATGACTCAAGTCTACTTCAGAAGAAATGGACCTTTAGTAAAAGCAAAAAAACACCTTACTGCTGATGTAGTAAAGTTCATAGTAAAACAGTAAAAGAGATACTACACCAGATAAAATGACAAATCTATAGCACACTGAACTATCACTAAATTACTAAAAGGCATGATGACTCATGTATATAATTCTAGCTATTTGGGGAGGCAGAGGAAGGAAGAGCATGCCTGAGGCAAATGAACAAGATGCAATCCAAAAACCAAACTCAAAAGCCAGGCACCACTGGCTCACATGGTTAATCCTAGCTATCAGGAGGCTGAGAGTTGAGAATCATGTTTAAGGCCATCCCAGGGCATGAAAGTCTATGAGACTCTTATCTCCAATTAAACCACTAAAAAGCCAGAAGTAGAACTGTGGCTCAAGTGGTAAAGTGCTAGCCTTGAGCAAAAGAGCTCAGGAACAGTGCCCAGGCCTGAATTCAATCCCCAGGACTGGCACCAAAAACAAAACTAAAACTAAAACTAAAAGTGCTGCTCCAAGTGGTAGAGCACTTGCCTAGTAAGCACAAAGTCCTAAATGCAATCCTCAGTACCAAAACAAATATAAATGTTAATCTCACAGAGTACACAAATGTCTGTCCACATTTTTATAGTAGAAAAGTTATAGGAAACATCAGAAATGATTTTAAGAGCCATACTCTTAGAAATAAGTGGGTAAATGTATTTATAATGGATGAGATTAATAACATTAAATAAAAAAGCAACCTTGGAAAGGAAAAGAGAATAGAATATGAATAAGGAAGTTATTGATCACTGTCAAATGTATATAAAAATAGTCGGAGTTATATCTTAGACCATTTTGTATTGGTATAATACAATACTTGGGTACTTCATACAGAAAAGAGTTTATATGGCTTACAGTTTTAGAGGCTCAAAGACAACATCATGCAGCCCCATCTGTTTAGCCTCTATTGAGGTTCTTCTAAATATGTCACAACACAGCAAACACCAAAAAGAGAGGACATAAGGCAAGACAGAAATCAACAGACAAGAGATATCCAGGCACATTCTTTTATAATAACCCACTCACAGGAATTAGCCCACTACAAAATATATGCATTAATCTCTTCCCAAGTCAATGTTCCCATGACCTAATCATCTCCCATTAAGCCCTGTCTCTTAAAAAGCCAATACTTAGCACTTGAGGATCAAGTCACACGAGGGATCACGCTCCTAACAACGAACCTTTATTGACAAACCATACCCAAAGCACAGCAAGCAAGTCCTAAGAAACAGATTTATGTAATCAAGTACTAAATTGCTTTTAATCAAACAAATGCAGCAGTGGTACCCACTAGACACTATACAACTTGTAAGTGGAGATGGGAGGGAAAGAGAGGGAAAGGGTGACATTGTCCAAAAAGAAATGTACTTTTGCCGAGTGTCAGTGGCTCACGCCTATAATCCTAGCTACTCAGGAGGCTGAGATCTGAGTATCACTGTTCAAAGCTGGAAATTCTGTGAGACTCTTATCTCCAATAAACCACTAGAAAACCAGAAGTGGTGCTGTGGCTCAAGTGGTAGAACACGTGCCTTGAGGATAGCGCCCAGGCCCAGAGTTCAAGCCCTATGACCAACCAAAAGAAAAAAAAAAA